TTTCCCTTCTCTGATTCTGAGTCTTGGAAAAACATCTACCCATTGCTCTCTTACTGCCCTCTATCAGATCCTGGCAGCCCTCACTTTTCACAGATGTATGGTACTATGCACATGACATTGCAAGTCAAAATTATACAAAGCAAACTGAGTAATCAATAAGGGAGCTATGATTGCTCCTCAATTTTTAAAATTGGTAAAGTCAACAACAGGAGTCACTGTGCACTTACTCCTCATGTAGGATCTCTGTCCTTAATGTGCTGTGTATTGAGATTTAATGCTATAACGAGTACTCAAACAATATATTGCACTTTGTGTTTCTATGGGGGTGCAAACTGTTGAAATCTCTACTTAATGTATACTAAACTGATCCTCTGTAAAAAAAAAAAAATTTGAGCCCTCACTGTCAATGATAAATGTAAAAAGAGGAGTAGGTGTTTGGCTCTGCAGTTACACTGCTGTTTGGTGTACTCACATTCCATATCTCAGTGTCACTTCAGATTCCAGCTTCCTGCTAATGTGCACCCTGGGAGGCAGTAAGTGATGGCTCAAGTACTTGGTTCACTGCCACCCACATGAGAGACTACGATTGAGTTCTTGGTCCCCGCTTCTGTCTAGTTGAGCCTCAGGTGTTTCAAGCATTTAGGGAGTGAACCACCATATGAAAGGTTCTCCCTCTCTTTGTCTCTCTCGCTCTCCCTCTCTCTCTCTTTCTCCCCCCTCCTCTTTCCCCCTTTCAAAGAAAAATAAAAGCAAATAATACATTTTAAAATATTAGAACATCAAAAATTAAATGTATACAAATGACTATTAAAGTAGTCATTTATTTTGCACACTGTACTTGAAAAAGACACAATCGTGATATTGAATGAGTGTCTACTATGCTTTAAAATTCTTATATTCCTGTATAAATCTGGAGCATCTCCAAGATTTTTTTTTCCTTTGTGCTTTCAATGTCATGACATATCTCCAACAGTTCCTTTAATGATTTTTTGCTGGTGTCAGGTCCTCTGGACATCTTCATCTTTTTTGTCAAAACCACTTTCCTAATTTATGTCACTAGCTTCAGCTTCACTCAGTTCATTTGGCTTAGATTTTCTTGCATGGCAATAGTGTCAACATCCCCATGGGCAGTGCTTTCTTCTACACGTCCATTCACTTTCAATTAGAATTTCCCTTTCAGCATTATCCCTTTTCGTTGCTTTTCTGCATTTTCATCTTTGTTGGCTACTTCCACTCTTTTATTAGACATAAATTGATTAACATGTAATACTTCTACATTCTTAAGGGGTACAGTGCGATATTTCAATACATCTACACAGCAAAAACCAATCAAACCAGGCATCTAGTCTTCCCTTTCCTAATTTTTGCTTTGTCTTTGAAGCCTACCAGCTCCTTTCTTACACTTCTGTACACAGTGTGTAACACATTATCATAAATTATAGTCACCTCATTGTGCTATGGAATTTGTTATTTCTATCTGACTATGTTCTGGCACCTGTTTGTCAACCTCACTCTCTCCTTCCCCCACTCTTCCACACCTCTGATAATCACTATTCTTGGTTCATAAGAACTTTTTTTGGCTTGCTTTTTAACTTCCACATATGTGAGAGAACATATGATATTTGTCTTTCTGTATCTTAATTATTTCACTCAACAACATGATCTCTCTAATTCCATCCATTTTGCCACAAATGTCAGGATACCATTTTAATGACTGCAAAATATTCCATTGTGTGCATATGTATTCATGCTGTGATTAATCAGTATTTTTTCATGGATTTGATATTCATTGATGCTATTCTTGGATACTGCAAATACTGCTGCAATGAACATGGGAATGCAGTTATATCTTTCATAACCTGATTTCTTGTCCTTTCAATATATAACTAGTAGTGGAATACCTGAGTCATATGGGACATCTATTTATACCTTTTCTTTTTTTAATTTTTATTAACATAAAGAGATTAGATTTAATGTATTTCACAGGTACAATTCTGAGAAGATAACCATATTTACCTGCCCCTTCTCTCCCTAATTACCTTTCCTCCTTCCTTTTTTGTTTTTTAAAATTTTGCAAAAGCATAATTCCAATCCACTCTATAAAATCACAGGCTTAATGCACCACTAACCATAATATTCAACATGTAAAAAGTAAAAAGGTTATCCCTCCATCCCACACTTGAGAATTTACCCACATGAAATGAAATCTGCATATGAAAGAGTTATTTGTCCCCCCATGTTTATTGCAGCTTAATTCATAATTGCTAAGATATGGAATCAACCTAGATATCCATCTACTGATGACTGGATAAAGAAAATACGGTGTGTGTGCACTTTGGACTACTATTCAGCCATAAAAAGAATGAAATCCTGCCTTTAGATGTTCTTATTTTGCTTATTTATTAAAAATCAGAGTTACAGAGAGAGAGAAGGAAACACACACACACAGAGAGAGAGACAGAGAGAGACAGAGAGAGAGAAAGAAATCTTCCATCCGCTGGTTCACTTCCCAGATTGCCGCAACATCCAGGGCCAGATCAGGCTGATGCCAAGGAGCTAAGAGCTCTATCCAGGTTTCCCAAATGTGTTGACAGGTACCCAAACAGTTGGGCCATCTTCCATTGCTTTTCCCAGGCCATCAGCAGGGATCTGGTTTAGAAGTAGGCAGCCGAGACCTGAACTGGTGACCATATGGGATGCCAGCAGAGCAGGGGGTAGCTTTACCTGCTATGCCACAACATTTGCTCCTACTTTTAGCTTTTTAACAAACCTCTTACTGTTTTTCATCATGATTGCATTAATTAGCATTCTATATGTGATTTATATGGATATCCTTTACTCCACATCCTTTCTGATATTTGTTATTTTTTGTATTTTTGAAAACAACTGTTCTATTTTGAGTGAGATGATATTTCATTGTGGTTTTAATGGATATTTTCCTGATGTCTTGAGGTATTGAGCATTTTTGCACTGTATTTGTTGGCCATTTATATTTAATCTTCTAGGAATATCTATACAGATGCTTCATCTAAGTCTTAACTGGACTTTTTTGTTGTTTTGTTTTCTGTGCTCCTTATATATTCTTTATATTAATGTTTTGTCAGTTGTTTAATGGACAGATATTTTCTCTCATTCTGTAAGTTGTCTCTTCACTCTCTTGATTATTTCTTATAATGTTTAGAAGCTTCTTAGCTTGATATATTCCCATTTTTACATTTCTACGTTAGTTTCCTGTGCTCCTGGGATTAAGTTTCAGTGTTCTCCCAATGGATATCCAGTTGTCAGAGCACCATTTATTGAAGAAATTATCCTTTCTCCAGTTCATGTTATTGATAGCTTTGTCAAGTATCAGCTGGCAGTAGACACATAGATTCATTTCTAGAGAGCTGTATCCTGTACCATGCGTCTATGAATCCATTTACAAACCAATATCGTGAACTTTCAGTTACTACAGCTTTCCATAGTCTGTCTTGAAATCTATCACTGTGACTATTCTGGCTTTGTTATGTTTTTCAAGATGTCTAGCTATTCAGTCTTTTGGGTCTCCATATGAATTTAAGACTTTTATCTAGTTCAATGAAGAATATCATTGGTATTTTGGTGGAGAATGTATTGAATTTGTAAATTGCTTTGGATAATGACATTTTAGTCACATTAATTCTTCCAATCTGTGTACATGAGGGTCTTTCCAATTTTGGGTGTGTATTTTTTCTATTTCTTTCATCAGTGTTTTATAATTTTTATTTTGGAAGTTTTTCACATCCTTAGTTAAATGCATTTCAAGGTATTATTTTTGTACATATTGCAAATGGAATTATTTTTATAATTTTTTTAATTGTATTGGTTATTGGCATGTAAAAATGCTACCAGTATTTAAATGTTGATTTTGTGTCCTTCACTATCATTCGAATAATCTCTTGGAGGAGTATTTAGCTTGTGTGCTTGCTCTCTCTCTCCAAATATAGATAAATATATAGCTAGGTAGATAGGTAGATAAATAGATATACATACAGATATAGATAGATATCTATATAGATAGATAGATGGATAGATAGATAACCATATATAGATAGATAGGTAACCATATAGATAGATAAATAACCATATAATCTGCTAACAGGGATAATTTGGCTTCCTTTATTTCCAATTTTTAATTCTCTTATTTTTTACTCTTGCCTAGTGATTCTTGATAAAAATTTTCAGCATTTTGAGTAAGAGAAATGAGAGAGGAACCACCTCTGGCTCCAGATCTTTGAAGAAATGCTTTCAGATTTTCCCAATTCATTATGATGTTTGCTGTGGCTTTGTCATATATTTCCTCTGTTATTTTGAAGTATGTTCCTTTTATGAAGTATGTTTCTTTTTAACTTATTCAAGGCTTTTCATTGTGATTGCTTTTTGAGCTTTACCAAATACTTTTGCTGAATCTATGGTGACGATCAAATATTTTTTACTATGCCTATGGATTTGTGTTTGTTGAACCATCCTGCAACTGAAAGATAGTTCCCATTTGATTATGAAGTATGATTCCTTTATGTGTTTTTGAACGCTATTTGCTAATATTTTGTGAAAAATTTTTGCATCTATGTTCATCAAGGACATTGACCTATAGTTATCTTATTTTGTCATATGCTTGTCTTATTGTTGAATCAGTATAATGTTGTCCCCATAGAATGCATTTGGAAGGGTTCTCTTAGTTTCAATTTTTTTGTAATATTTTGAGAATAATTTATTCTCAACTCTAAATAACCAATGCTGCATTCAGGTATAGTATGAGTTATGCTTACAACTATGCATTAGTTTTCTTCTGGCCAGGATCCCTGGCCAACTCTATCTTTGATTATTCAGCTGTCATATCTCCACATTTTCTCAAAATAGAAACATTATCTTTCTATCACTGAGATAACTGTAAAGTTTCTATTATGTTCAAGAGTGTTTCTTTCTTTTAAATATGACAAAGCTTTTCAAAAAAATTAATGTAAACAAATATGTTTCCACAGCAGGTGAAAGTGTGGATGAGAAGAGAGTGGATGGGCCTAAGAAAGATATTTATGAAGTTAAAGCAGAAATCCTTAAGATGCTCAAAAGGTAAGACAACATTTCTAGATGCTCAAAAGGTAAGATAACATTTCAATTTTTCTCAGTTGCATTATTATTGCCTTCTTTTTTCTAGGGAAAAAAAAACTAAGAATGGAACTATAAGTTACAAAGACATAGAGCTATGCAGTTGCTCATGTTTGAAATTGAAAGTTTTAAAAACCGTTTCAAATGAAATCTTCTCAGATATTCTTTAGCAATATACCCTTATATCAAGTATCAGCATTTCTTGGTATTATAATGACTACTGGGGTGTTGTTGGCAGCATAATAAATATTGAGGTAGTATTTGTGATGTAGAAGATAGTGGATTAATTTATTACAGGATAGAACACCTCCCCATTTTATTATAGGGATGGGTCAGAATAATTGGACAAGTCTGAAGTTCTTAAGTTTTATATGGGACACAGGCGAAAGTGTAACAAGTGACTTTGGAGGTTAATTATGCTTCAGCTATGAAACAGTGATCACATACATTCTTCTGTGCAAAATAAAAACTAGAGAACAGTCCAATGGAGTTGATAGTAAATAACACAGTGTTTATAGGCTATGATGATTTTGGATTATAATTTCTTATTTGACAAGAGCTGTCTTTGTAAGTTAAGGAAGTAATAAATTAAAATGTCATACTAGCCTTAATAAGACTCTTCAGTCTTTGATTAATTTAGTAATAACCTCAAGGATAGGCTATATAAATTATTACCACTTCCATTAGCTAAATTATAGATTACTTACTTCATTGCATACTGAAAAAAGCAATTAGTTTGTGTGCACTCTTCAGGGCATTCTATAGGCAATAAACAAAAGGTAAAACATTTTTGGTTGTTGTTTGACTAAAAAACCACTTAACGTGGTATTACTGTAGATAGTTAAGAATCTAAGTAATTGAATTTTAGCATAGTACTCTGAAGGAATTTAAAACAGTATGGGTATTCTTTTTCTTGTCATGTTGGCCATTCCAAACATAAATAGAACTAAGGAAAGCTTTTGAGAACCAGGAATTCATTTAGGATTACAGAGAGGGAAATATAAAATATCATATAAAATATACTAAAATTAATCTAAGTTTTACAATTACATTTCTTTTTATGAGAAAAATGCATGTATAGAATTTGAGATAAATTGGTTTTGAAGTGACAAATTTAGTGATGGTTATTATCATTGTCCCATACCTGTCAAAGGAGTGACATATCATTTAAAAAATCACAATCCATTCTTGGAATCCTAAAGATCACCAAATGTATTGATTGATTCCTAACTTATAATTATCTCTGTCACTTATTGTATTTTTCTGACATTCATGCAATTAAAATATTATCAATATAGGACAATACTTTAACTGCATAACTGTAAATTCATTCAACAAAGCAAAGCATGTAGTTTTTTGCTTCCTGGTTTCCTGGTAATAGACCCAGTCTAGTTGAGAAATGGGTAAAGGATTTGAACAGGCATTTTTCAAAAGAGGAAATTCAAATAGTCAACAGCCATTACAGAAATGCAAATCAAAACCACAGTGATGTTTCACCTCCCCCCAGTTAGAATGTCTCTCATACAGAAATCAACAAACAATTAATGCTGATGAGCATGTGGCAAAAAAGATTCCCTAATCCACTGTTGGTGGGAATGCAAACTAATATAGCCATTATGGAAGACAGTATGCAGATTCCTCAGAAAACTGAAAATAGATATACCATATGACTCAGCTATCACACTCCTGGGAATTTACCTAAATGAAAATATATCAGCATCTGAAAGAGCTACCTGTACCATGCATATTTATTGCAGCTCTATTCACATTGATAAGATAAGGAATCAACCCAGATGTCCATCAACTCATGACTGGGTACAGAAGTTATGATCTATATACACTATGGATATTACTTAGCCTTCAAAAGAATGAAATCCTGTCTTTTTCAACAAAATGAATGCAACTGGAAACCATTGTATTTAGTGAAATAAACCAATCCCCAGAAGACAAGTAGCATATGTTTTCCCTGATCTATGGTAACGAATAGAGTACAAAAATGTAATGTATAGTATTTACATTGGAATCTGCATAAAATTATTCCTGTGGATTAACTGTTGAGAAGATCTGTGTGGGTGCAAACTGTTGAAAACCTTACTTAGTATATACTAAATTGATCTTCTGTATATAAAGATAATTAAAAATGAATTTTGATGTGAATGGGATGGGAGAGGGAGCGGGAGATGAGATGGTTGCGGGTGGGAGGGAGGTTATGGGGAGAAAAAGCTGCTATAATCCAAAAGCTGTACTTTGGAAATTTATATTTATTAAATAAAAGTTAAAAAAAGAAAAAAAAGAAAAAAAAAGAAAAAAAATACAAAGAGTGGGAATAAGAGAGGCAAGAGATGTGCAATTCGGGACATGCTCAAGCTGACTTACCTCAAACGGTAGAGTTAGAAACATACCAGGGGATTCCAATTCAATCCCATCAAGGGGACATGTACCAATGCCATCTCACTAGTCCTAGTGATCAATTTCTGTTCACAATTGATCATAATGATAGGACTAAGCCATTGTAATCCATAAGCTGTACTTTGGAAATTTATATTCATTAAATAAAAGTTAAAAAAAAAAAAGAGGGACATATATGGAGCAGACACCTGAAGACACATGACTGCTCCATCATGGTTCAAAAAAAGTGTTTATATGGAAAACATTATGGGGGAGGGAATTTGGCCAAGCAGTTAAGATGCTGGTTAGAATGTCTGCTTCTCAAAAGCGGTGCCTGGCTTTGGTTCTCAGCTTGTGCTCCTGAGTTCATTTCGCTGCTAATCCAGACTCTCAAACGTAGTGGCCATAGCTCAGGTGGTTGGGTTCCTGCTATCCATGTAAAAGACTTTGATTGAGTTCCTGGCTCCTCACTTTGGCCCTCTTGGCTGTTGTGAGCATTTGGGAAGTGAACTAGTAAATGAGAGTGCACTCTCTCTCTCTCTCTTTCTCCCTCAAATAAATAAAACTTGAAACAAGAAAAAGAAAAACATGGAATAAAAAATGTGCTGGTATTTAAAAAAAAAGGGGGAGGGCCCAGAGTGTGGTGGCTCTGTCTTATTAGGTAAAGTGTGAAGGAAGGAATCTGGTGAGAAGAGAACAGAATGGGAAACAGCTGGCATTTCAAATACTTGGTGCTAGATATTTCCACGGAGCCACATGTATACCAGAGAAGGTCATGAACTATCCAAAGGATACTTTCATTGGAATGACTCTGCTGAAAAATTATGGAGGCAAACTACTAGAGACAGGATAAAAGCCCACTTGAGACTCTGAGTTCAAAGTCAGCAGGACTGTGACTCACACATGGGACATTGGACGCAAACACAAAATCCTCCCAGCCAAGTTACAGTTAGCAGCAGTCTCACACATCTCTCTTTCTCTATCAATCCTTTTCTCTTTAAGGCTGAGAGGGAAACTAGATGATACTACTGGTTTAGTCCTGGAATGATATTCATAGACTAATATATACTAATTTATTTACTAGAATTTCTTCAATAGCATAAGATATCTCTGGGAAACAGGATGGGCACAACTTCACACACCAGGTGTGATACAATGATATTGCCAGAGGAGACCTCAAAACAGAATTCACAACTGGCCAAGGCTTTGCATGTGCTCCCAGTGGCCTATGATGCTTTCAAAGCTTGCAATATGGGATGAGCAACATTGATGAAAATAATTTTGTCCTGGGATTCAAAAGTTTGCACTAGAATGGATTTTATATATTTTTTACAGATACCAGAAGTGCTTTATTATCCACTCCTTAAAGACTTAATGGATTAAGCAAGCATGAAGGTGGGTAGTTTAGCATCCTGGAAACCCAGCATTTTCATTAGCAAAAGATCTGGTCTTGTCACCTTGGCTTCAGACACTTCTGCTCAGCTGAGGTGGGTCAGAGCCAAGTCCAGGTTGGAGAAGGTTCACTTCCTTCCTCAGTTTATGCAGACACTGTAAGGATCATGTGAAGAGATTGCATGCTTTAGTTGCTGACTCTAAGAAAATTTATCTTTTACTTCTGAATAAATAGCTGTTTTTCTTTATTTGTTCTTTTGATTTTGGGGACAATAAGAGAAAGTCAAAACAGTGCTTTCTTCTCTATTTTAAATCAATTTAAACTTGCTTACCTAAATTTGAATAATTTTTTGCTTTGAATTTTTCAATTAGATAAAAAAAGAAATCAAACCATTTTATTCTAGAAAGGTGATTATGGAAGCTTGATTAAACTGAGAATTTTATTATTTGGAAGGATGTGGCTTACCCCGAAGCCTCTATTCTTCTTTGCTTTTGCCAGCTGAAAGTAAATATAGTTTGGAATTATTTGTAGGTGCAGTTTGCATATCATGAAAAACATAATGACTAAGCGAAAATATGCATCAAGAAGAAAACAACATGAGGTTGTGATACAAGAATCTAATACTCCAGAAATAAATTATATACAGATGTTGATTTGTGGCTTTTCTTTTTTAAAAAAAGATTTATTTTGTTTACTTGAAAGCAAGAATTACAGAGAGAGAGAGAGAGAGAGGGAGTCACACACACACAAACACATACACACACACAGACATAAAGAGAAGGAGAGAGAATCTTCCAGCCACTGGTTCACTTCCTAAATGACAGTTAGGGCTGCACCAGACCAAAGCCAGGAGCCAGGAGTTTCATCCTGACCTCCACTGGGTGCAGAGGCCTAGCACTTGGCCTTCTTCCACTACTTTCCCAGGCACATTGGCAGGCAGCTGGATTTAAGTGGAGCAGTTGGGACAGACACGAAGGACACAGAAGTTGCAGATGGCGGCTTAACTGGCTACACCACAACACTGGCCCCAATCTGTGGCTTTTATAATCATCATCTCTCCAATAAAATATTTTAGTTACTATATTCACATTGCTTTTCCTTTTTTTATTAGGATTTTTATTTATTTGAGAGGTAGAGTTACAGAGTGGGGGGGGGGGGGGGAGGGGATACAGAGAGGAAAGTCTTCCATCTGCTGGTTCAC